GGTATTTAGATCTATATACAATCACCTGAGGCATAAGAAACAGCTTTTGTTTTACCTGGCCTTTATGTTCACTCTCAAAAGAATGTAAAAGGAAAAAATACTGAACTATCTATTGGGAGACATAAATGTTATTGTTAATGGAAAATAGAATTTGAGCCTCTGCCTCTTCATCAGAGGATGCCACTCATCACACAATTGAGGATCTCTGGTCAAGGGAGCAGCCTGGCATCTCTACTGTCATGTATCATCACTTGTACAATACTGGTTAATGCAAACTTCTTAAAAGGAAAGACATTTGAGCAGTCTATGAAGTGGAAGGAAATAAGTAAGAGCAAGTACCTCCAGTTAGATTTATATAAAGAGAGAAAGATTAAAGGCTATACTACAAAAATGTCCTGTATCAAGAAAGAATGAATCACAATGCCTGCTTTCAGAAAGTGAAAATATGAAGGAAAGTTTTTATTCCCTAAGTGAAAGTTTGCTGGTGTTGTGGAGATCTTGGGAATAGGAATGAACCTGTTTGATTAATCACTTTCTTTGATTAGCCACTTCAAGTTTATTCAATTCTATGATGGATAAATAATGGTGGTATCCAGGCAACGGAATATTGTTTAATGCAAAAGAAATGATTAACTCATAAAAAGACACAGAGGAAATTAAACTACATGTTATTAAATGAAATAAGCTTGTTTGAAAAGCTACCTACCATACAATTCCTGTTAAATTATATTCAGTTACTATGCTCTAAAACATTTAAATGCCAACATAATTGTTGAGACTGAGAAATGTTGCTCTAACTTTCTCATAGTGGCTGTGTCTTAATATCCTGTATTTCAGCCAGCAATTATAACTTTGCATTGATTCCATGATTAATATGATAATAGAGTTCCTATGTAAGTCACTGTGTTAGAGTTTCTATTGCTGTGATGAATCATCACGACAGAAAAGCAAGTTTGGGAGAAAAGTGTTTATTTATACTTCCTTATCACTGTCCATAACTGAAAGAAGCCAGGGCAGGGACTCAAATGGGCCGGGAACCTAGGCAGGAGCTATCACAGAGGCCATGGAATGATGCTGCTTACTAGTTTGCTCCACACGCCTTGCTCATTCTGCTTTCCTATAGAACCAAAGACCAGCATGCCAGGGATGGTACCATCCACTAGTCAAGAAAATGCCTTACAGCTGGATCTTTTTTTTCCTTAAAGAGGAAAATATTTAATTGGGTCTAGCTTACAGTTTCAGAGAATTAGACCATTGTCATCATGGTAGGGAACATCTGTCTGGCATACAGATAGATACAGTGATTACAGCTGGATCTTATGGACACATTTTCTCAATTGAGTTCTCCCCTTTTATTGGATAACTCTAGCTTTTGTGTCTAGTTGATAAAAGATTAGCCAGCTCAGTCACCAAGCATAGCAACTGGAGGTGAATGTTGATATTGAAGAATGTTGCAAATTGGGGAGGGTACACATGGTGAGAATTGAGACATTTCTTTCTTTATCGTGTTTTTCATTTACAAAGTTTTCTTCACAAATATAAATATAAAACATTAATGATGTCTACTTTGATATTTTCTGATCAAAATGGTTTGTGAAAAATGACTTGTCTTACCTGAATAAAGTTTCATTACTTTATCTGAGCAAAATTTCTTTACTCAGATAAAACCTATAAATCATTACAAAGGGTGCATATTTCAGCACTCAAATATGTTTTAATTAGTCTTTTAGAAATATTATTTAGTTTTCCAATGTGCAGGTTGCATATATTCCCATATTTTTACCTTAATATATTTAAAATATTATGATGGCAATTAAATTAACAACAAAGCTTTTCTTTACAAAATGTTATCAGCACAAACAGGGAAATTTTTGTTTATCTTCACAACAAACATACTAAAAATATTTTCCTTCAAAAAGTGATACTAAATTCTGTATATACAGAATGTAGATGAGTGGTTGCCTGGAACTAAAGAGAGAGGCAGAGTAGCCTCTCATGAATGCAGATATTTTGGATTATAACAAAAAACTAATACTGATGGCAGCAATGGATGCCCAATGTTGTCAACAGGCTAAAGTCTTTGAGCTGCATATTTTAAATAAGGGAGTTTCGTGGTACATTAATTTTATATTTGTAATAAAGCTAATATTTATAAAAATTATTGTGAAATATATATATGTATATATGTAAATATACATATATGTATATATATATATTTCTCACAATATATACTATACACTGAAAAGACAAAAAGAAAATGATGTGATCCTCATCTTCTCCATTTTACCTTTAGTGCAATGTTATGAAAGTGGATAGACAGACATCTTTACCTTTAAAAACATACAGTTGAACTTTATTCCACATGAATGAGATAATGTACCTTCCTTTATCCATTGTTATATTTGAAAATTTTGTGTTAAGGGGTTAACAAAGGGTTTTATGTGGTGTGAGTCACTGTATCACACTGCAGCTTCCATGTCAAGATTTTTAATTTTTTCCCTTTTTTCCTCTTAAATTTTGTTTTATTGGGGTTTGGAGGGTACAGGGCCAGAGGGCATATGCAAAGGGACAGGGAAATGAATGGGACCAAGTTACATGATGTAAAAGACACAGAGTAAATTTTTAAAATCTTGCTAAAAACAAAAAAGAGTTAAGATAAATTGAGCTGATTACATCATCAAGACCCTGGGTTGGGCATCTGAGAAGGAGTTAGCTCCCCAGCTGGCTGACTCGTGTCATAGTTTATCACTGTAATTCACTGCTATGTTCTGCAAATCTTCAAAGGCCAGCACCAAAATATTTCCTATCATAAGTCAGAAGCACTGACTCCTTCCTGAAACTCGAACATTAGTTGGCCAGTTGTAAAGTCCTTTTAAAACTCAGTAGTGCCTTTGATGTTTTGCTTCTTTTCAAGTAAAGAGATATATCAGTTTGTGTTGGATATGCAGTAATCCTTGCATTATGAAGAAAAATTAATTTAAGATGTATAGCTCACTGAGAACTACGAATGAGTGTAGAGCTGTGGATAATGAAGTACCATATCACAGTAAGTAAGAACAAAGGGAGGAGATGAAGAGTGTCCCACAGACTCGGTTGTGACATGTGCATGTGCAGGTGATTGAGTCGAAAGGTTCCCTGACTAAGTTTTAAGAATGAAATGAGAAGTAAGAATCATCGTAAGTTTTCATAGAAAATATTTAAATTGTTATGAAAGCCACAGGTTGTGCTTGTGTGTGTCCATGTTAATGTGTGGATTTTTTTCTTTATTTTCATTAGTGTACTAAAGGCAACTACTTCGTAAGTTGTCAGGGTTGAATGAGGAAGACAGATGTGTATGGCAGGCAGTGAAACTCTGGGGCAGCCATATCAAAAGCTTGTTTCTCTTCTGTAGAATGAGGATGATATAGTCGACCTCACAAGGATTAACGTGAGAATTAAGTGAGCTGATGTATGAAAGCCCCTGTTAATGATTCCTGCCTGATATGAGAAAGACTCATTATTGGTACTCATTATTAGGGGCAATATCAGCAATGATAAAAACCAAAGACTCTCTCTTTTGTAGAGCATTCCATTTGATATTTGTGAATATCAGGACACCCAGATGATATAACAAGAAGTACAGAAAGAGTCAGGGTTGCAAACCGTTCTGTCAGAATGATAATGCCAAGGAACGACAGCTGGTCAAATTACATTTGCTTCAAATTAATCTTCCCCGTAATTGCTGACATATTAGGAATCCAGAAGACACTCAGCCCACTAGTCACCATGGTCAAATGCTTCTTGGCAATGTACACCTTGGTTATAATTGAGATTTACCTCAGGCCTTTTCAGGTGCCCCTGATGTGGTTTTCTGTGAGATGAATCTTTTCTGTGAAGAAGCTCCCATTACATTAGCATCATTGTCTTAGTACAGGACAGTCATTAGGTTTTTGGAAACAGGGGCCACTGAGCTGGTAGCTGAGCAACTAAAAGTAATTGCTGCTGAGCCTTAATATCTGAGTCCCAGCTCTGTAACCTGCATGATGGAAAAAGAAAGCAACAGCCAAGAGTGGTCCTGTTATCTCCCCAACATGCGTGCCATAACAGGGGCATGTGACACACACACACCCACCCACACACACACACACACACACACACACACACACACACACACACACGAGCGCGTGTACACACACACCAAATAAATAAGATGTAGCTAAAAGATTTTTTTAGATTTTGAAAATAAAATGAAGACTTTTTTAAAAAGGGAAATACACAATGTTTAAATCTGGCTGGCTTATAGTTAACCAGTCTGTTCTTGAACTATATGCATCAAACCAAACTATATTAAATCAAACTATATTAAATCAAACTACAGTCATTCGCACTACCTTTCCTCAAAGCACCCATCATGCTGGTCCTGATTCCTCTTTATGTTCTGCTCATTCATACTCATGGATAGCAGGATGGCAGGTAGATTTCTTATTGATGGCAATGGCAAATACTTGACATAAATATGTATTTTATGAAGGATTACTTACTCTCAATATATAAATCATCACATGACAGACTTACATTACTTTTTCAGTATTTTATGATAGGGCAATTCTTGGTATCTTTCAAGTAAATTGTTATTTGTCACCGCCTAATACAGAGAGAGGAAGACTGGAAATGGGTTCCTGATGCATCAACCCTTTGCATCATCTTACACACCCTGGGCAATCCTAAGGTTACTTTAACATCCAACAGTGGTAGACCACTCAGCCCCTGCCTTTGGATCCTGGAAATCTCCTTCATGTTTGCACTATTCACAGTATACATGGAAAGATAATATCAATTGATATTTGAGTACATTTGGTTATTTCATCTTTAAGAAATGTGTGTGTGTGTGTGTGTGTGTGTGTGTGTGTGTGTGAGTGTGTGTGTGTGTGTTCATAATACCCAGTGCTATTTCTTTGAGTTACTTCATACTTTAGAGTAAGTGAATATCTTAAATATATGATTACAAATATATTTTCCAGGTCTGAGAATGAATAAGGGTGCCATCACCCCTCCTCGTTCTTCTCCAGCTAATACATGCTCTCCAGAAGTGATCCACCTCAAGGACATTGTCTGCTATCTGTCTCTCCTTGAAAGAGGAAGACCTGAGGATAAACTTGAGTGTATGTTCCGGTAATTTTGTTTGCTCACAAAGCTGGGGGTGGCAGGAGAGACTTTGTGTTGATGCAATTATAATTACCTAAATTGTTTTCCACCTAAATGAGCTTGCTTAACAAAGAAAAGAAATAGCTTTACTCAGTCAAGCAAACAAAAGTTAATAATAACTTTAACTGAAAATGCATCTTAATTAGAGATTTGAAACATTACATTTTGTTAAGAAATGTTGAAGGCTGGTTATTATGAAATGAAATTATATCCATTTCTAATAATGTATCAAATTCCATTTGTTTCTATTGACTTTGTAAACATGTCTGTCTATCATATGGCTTCTAACTGTTTTCTCTCTTGTTTTGGGGGGTTAACAAGAAGCAACTAGAAACTTTGAACTTTTTGAACAAATGCTCTACAAAATGCTAAAGTCTTGTAATCTGAGGAAGACTTCCCTACCTCCTTTTTTTACACTAAAGAACACACACACACACACACACACACACACACACACACACACACACACACACCTGATATTCTCCATGGCAACCTCCCTTCGACATCGGCTTAACACTCTCTTTAGCAGAGAACAATTTCTCAAATGTCTCTTCTATAGGACTTGGTTCTGTATACCATAAATAATTAAATAGGTATCTTTGTTTCTTTTACAGTGTGACAGGTAGGACCTTCTTTTCATAAACCCAGTTAACATTCTTTAATAAACTGTGGTGACTGAGCTCTCTCTGGTGGTAAAGCGTACACACTGCAATGAAGAGCATACTCCTCAAACACTGATCTGGGACTGATCATTGATAACCTGGTCTCTCAGGAAAGCTAGCTATCACTAAAGCAGTCGAATATATTCAGAAACTAGATTAACAAGATTATGCTAGAGATCATTAAAATTTTGCTACTGAATTGAAGTGAAGATAATAAAACCAAAACTCAGCATTTTAAATAAAATTTAAAATGCTACAATGAATTAAAATTATAACTACAAAGCAGTTTAGTTAAATTTAATGGTATCTTTTTGTTACTTCTTACATGTAAAGCATTTGCTAAGCTTACTTAGGAGTCATAACAGCTTAGGTCATGAATAAACTATATGGGCATTATTCTTTAAATATGTATTTATTATTTATAAACATTAAATAGCTTCAGTTCAAGATTTATTTTGTATTCATAAGAATGTGTAAAAATCTCTTTCATTCCAAAGAAAACAGTGAATTTCTGTTGAAGTGACGGCCACAAAGTAAGTTTGCTCAGGTGTCATCACTGCAATGTTTGGGATGATGAAGACAAATATTATTTCCAGATCTGAGTATGAATGAAGGCACCATCCATCTCCCCCTAAAAGGACTTTGGCACTGAACTTTGATTATTTGTAAACAAAATAGACAAACATTTTGGATCTGTGAGAAGCATGCTTCTTGTTTTGGTTCTTAATGCCACAGATCCTTTGTCCATAATCACAGGCAGGGCATTCACTTATTACAAAGCACTGGATGACTCCAATAAAGCTGACCTGAGACTTTTCTCCAGTGGCATTCTTGTTTATTCTTTGAGGTTCACGGCTCTTTTTTAAGCTTACAGCCATTTTCCTTATTTTACAATTATATTTTTTAAGACATTTATACAAACTAACCTCTGCTTCCTGGTGGTGGTACCTCGATTCCCTGGCATTGTTCCCTTTGCACCCGCCGTTCTTACAGGTTTTCTCACACTGCTCAAAATACTCACAGGCTTTCTGACCTCCTGATTGTGTGGCCATGACTCTGAATATACATCACCATATTCAGGAATTCTAAGGTTTTACTTTTTCTTTTTAAAGTATTTTGTTTCTTTTACAGTGGTATTTTCCCACATCAATAAAAAAAAATCTACTCCTCATCCACTTCCTTAGCAATTTGTGGGTTTTAACCTGTCTTTGCACATTTACAAATTCCTAATATTCTTTTATGGTTTCAGTACCTAAAATTATTTGTAATAAGATCTACATTAGCAGTGTCTAATGAACTACATTACACAGTTCCTTCCAAAAGAGTTATGCCATACTAAACATAACATAAACCAGAACTACAAAGAAGAAAGGGTAATTAAAAAGGAACAGAAGTGGATGCATTGAAAACAGGAAATAGTTAACTCGCTCTGGGGGAGAGAACTGAATTTAATCTTCTGTTGTGTTTGATCACCAAAATGGGATGTACATACCTGGGTTTAGGTCAGATGTCCCAACGCAATTACTCACCAGAATCCCTTGCAGGGCCTGTAGGTTACTGGGTCCCCCAGGATGTGGGATCTGACAGTTGGCTGACTAAAAGGAATGGACATGAAGCACTGCTGCTTTTGGACAAGGATCCCCATTTAGAAGAGGAATGAATTATGAAATTTTCCCTCTTCAGTGACAACTCACCACCACCAATTTACCAGAAAGGGCTGTTGCCTTGGCATTGGTATTTCTGAATCTTTCTTGTTGGTATTAGATAGAGTGATTACAATGTTTCCAACATTCAAGAAAGGAATGTGTCTTCTACCAAAGTGAGGATTCTGTTAACTGCTTCTCACCTTGTCCTTCTCCCCAGCAGTCTTTTCTCCCAGACATAAGTGCAAGAGTTAGCTTGAAGTCTACCCCATTACAAAGAAGCAAGTACAAAGGCCGGAACATAAGCCATTTCTTTACCTGTCTTTCCTTAATCCAGTCCTCCTGTCTCCATGAATGTCTGCCCTACTTACTTGGAAAGTGTGCAACAAAGATATATGTGCTGGGGTTGCAAGAGGGCTCCCTTTTTCTTTCCTGGTGGCTATCATTTGGATCATAGGGGTCAGCTCAACCGTTAGCAGACACACACGTCACTTTACACCATATTGCTACCTGTCCTCCACATTCATCTTCCTTCTGTACCAGTGTGTCCAACCCAGCCCACTGCCACATGAGGCTGCTCTCATACAAATCCTTCTGCCATCTCTTAATAGGACATTTTCTGTTGACGCTTATGCCTGTTAGAGTGACAAATGTATAACAAGGGAAATTAGCAGGAAAGCATGGGGAAAGTGCGTGATTGTCATTAAGGACTGCCATGTTGCCACTGTGTGTAACATTAACCTGAAATTCTGAAATATGTTACTAACAGGCCCTAATGGCCACCAGTTGGACAGATTTCCTATAGATTACGCATGAAAGTGACCACAGTCACCAGTCTTCTTAGTCGAAGAAGGTTCAAGGCTTCTTAGCCACTGTATGGTCTCTTGTTATTTGGAAAAAGCCATGAATTAATGCTTTTTTGTTACCTCTCTTATGGGAAAGATGGAGAGTATTTTCCCATTATATTGGATTCAAAATTTTCTAGGCAGCCAATTTTTTTAATTCCTGTCCTTATATTTTACTATCAGATATTGAAAAATGTGTAGCTAAAAATTTGCATTTTGAAGAATTTCCAAATTCAATATCATTCAAATGAACACTGTTTTTTTTCATAAATTCAGCATTATGTTTTCATATCAGTCGTATATCACAGAAAGTACAAAGACTATATAGTTTTTGTTGAAAGGTTTTCAGTGAAAGTCTTAGACAGAAATTTTCAAGATTTTTCAAAGAGGAAAAGTTTTAGAAAAATAGAAATTTTCTCATCTTACATAATATGACTCGGCTCTGACCTTTTATCTGAATTCAAGTGTGGGTACATAACTGTTGCTATGTAAAGTAAAATGACATGATAATAAAAATAGAAAGAAAGTGGGCTAAGCTAGCTCAAACTTTTGTAGCAAGTCCCCACCTTTGAACCGTCAATTTGACAGAATGATCTGAATATTGGGCTTACTTTATTCTGGTATGGAAAACATTTATAAATCTATATTGGTCTGTCTCTGCTTTCACGAATTAAGAAGAAAGGGCATTGTTAATATTTAAGATTTAAAAGTTTTTTTCCCCCAATATTATTCAGAAAGAGGATTTTAAGAGGAAAAGTCTTCAAAGACTTGGCAGGCTGGAGAGCTTTTGTTTCCTGGAGCTAATGCCTGCCCTACCCTTATTTGATTACTTCTCTTCCTGTAACTAGTCAGTCTTCAAATTCTCAACTGTAAATTTTATTTGAGCACTTGTGATCTTTTTACACCTTTCTTGACAGTATTCCCCTCCTCCCTGATGACACTTGCTGCATTCTCCCCAACCATTATTTGAATGTTGCACTTTGAAGGCAGAATTTTACTTTCTTGCCTGAATTTATTTTCGTTTTTACCTTTCTCTTTTTCTTTCATTACACATTTGGGATGTATTTTGCATTTTTGATGACCTTTTCTTTAGTTTTTCTGAATTTTCTTAACTTCATCTAGAATCTATTTGTACCCAGGAGGACCTTTTATGCTCCTATTCTTATTCCTAGGTTGAAACTTCTTTTCTTATTGAGTCCCCTTGGCTCAGTTGCCAGTGGTCAAAAAACTGCAACATGTTTGAGCCATTTTAGTGTTTTTTTTTTTTTATTTTTTTTATTTTTCCATTTTTTATTTGAATTAGAAACAAGATTGTTTTATATGTCAATCCCAGTTCCCTCTCCCTCCCCTCCTCACCTACCACTCTCCCAACTAAAATCCTACCTATCACATATCCTTCCTTGAGTGGGTTTTATAGACTTTTTTTCCAGTAGAAATAAGAAGAGCTACTGGGCCCCTACTTCTGAGATGGGAGCTGGGCTTCCAGCACCTCCCCTGTTCCTGCTATGGGACTCTTCTCTGGGTGGTCTGTGAATTCTTTTCTCTTATGAAATTATTTTTAGTATTTTATGCTATGCTAGAAAATCTTAGATGCTCAGTGTCTACATTGTGGGTTTTTTCTTTAACTTTTATCATTTTATCCTCAGTTATTGAGTATTCCAGAGAGATCAGTATTTAGCATGGTTAAATACCTTAAAATTTTAGCCAGCTGTAATTCAATAAATACACATTTCTTCCAGTTTTATATCTTTAAGGCTTACTTTCCTATTGCAAAAGAATATAAAGTTATATAAAGTTATAGTTATTTTGAAGACATTTAAAAATTTATAGTGATACACAGAAATTTTGCATCGTGTACACATTATGACTTAGATGTTGGAATTATGTAATCATTAACTTCAAGAACAATTACAGTGATACACACTCTCTAAGTTGCCAGTGTCACTATAAACATACAAAACACAGATATAAGATCTTCCCGGAAATTATGCAAACTCAACATAAACCCTCACTTCCACTCCTTTGTTTTTACAGCTGTGTCATTCTCCTGTGTGTATACCTTAAGATGACACCTGCATCCTCTTCCATGGCCTCCTTGGGGTCTTTGAATTATACAATGGAGACCTCAGGCCTTGGACTCCTGCTCTGCTTTCTTAGCCCAGTAGGAGAGTCTGTGTTCTGAATATCTGTACTTGATTAATTTAAAAATGAGGTACCCAGTGAAGCCTGGCTGCAGATCCAACCCAAGACACCAACTGGTCATGCTAGTACTGTATGTGTAGGAGATTCCACCTCCATCTCAGAAAGAATATATTATTATAAACTTCTATTTCCTCTCTCACGTTCAGTAGGATAAATAATAATAGTGGCTTATGTTTATATAGTGGGCTCTACATTCTGGGATGTGCCTGTGTGTCCCATTTCACTTGACTGCCACAGCAAAATTTGAGCATAATGGCAGGGTGATTATTCACATGTCAGGCATAAGAAAATAGTCCCATGGATTCTAAATTTCAACTGTTTTTTGAAACTCTAAATCAATTTTAAATCCATTGTCTTTCCACCTCCACTCTGCCCTTTAATTACCAGATGCTGAATATTTCAACTTCTCCTTCATATTTGAATTTACCACTAAGGATTAAAAACTGAAATTTAAGCAAATAATGCTACTTAATTTTCTCTAGATACAAACAGAATTTTGTAAATGTAATATTGGAAACCCAGTATTTAATTAACCAATTAATTAATTCTCAGTTTAGCAAAAACTCACTAATAAAGGCTTTGAGCAGCAGAACTGAAATATTTATCTTAAAAAAGAAACTAAATTTTGAGAAATCTACCTTAAACCAACTTGACATTTCTAATCGCTAATCTTTTGTTTTCATGTTTTTTTTTTTATTCTAGTTATGTTTCGCCTTTATGACACAGATGGAAATGGCTTCCTGGACAGCTCGGTAATTTTTTTTTTCAAACTTATCTGAAAAATTGCAAAATAGTTGTTTTTCTTTGAAAGAAGCAATGGCTAAATTTGCAGCTATCACTACAGAAGGCATACACACCTCATAGAACTTCCATCTAGCATGCTTCTCAGCTGAACAGACAGGATTGCGGGCATCCCATCCAATGGATTTGAAAATAAAATGACTTGATTTCTGCACTAACTTAGTAGAAGAGATTTCTAGCCTTATGAACATTACCGTGAAAAGAAGAAAAAATTATTTGTAAAATTCCTCTCTAAGAAAAAGTATTGAGTAAGCACATAGATTTTAAAGAAATTGTGAAACTGATTTATAATTTCCCCCTTAAAATATTCTTACTCATAAATGCCGTTTAGAGGAGTGAATGTACTTACAGCTTGATGTGAGAAATCTGTTTTGACAAAGTCTCATATAATTTTGTAAGAAGCTTTCATTGCATAGCTTAAGCCAGAGGAAAAAAAAAATAAAAAGCAAAAAGTATATCTGAATGATAACCTGAAAAGTGTAATTTAATGTTTCATTTCTAATATATGGGAATCAATGGTGGCTTTCAGAGAGGTAGAAATGAGACAACCAGTGTGCACATCAGTACTTCATGCTGCACTCAATTCCATTCTATATTTGCTGATCATATATTTTGTGTCTCCAGGAAAACTACAAACAGTAATATAAGAGTTGATGTTGGAGTTGGTTTAAGCATTTCCAACTCTGTGGGTTTATCGATTTCTGTATTGTCATTGTGGTGATGCTGAAGACTGAACCCAGGGAAGCACTGAACAGCAGACTCAGCTCTAACTTTTAAAATACATTTAACAGTGAGGAAATGCAGTAATCTGATGATATGGATCATTGGAAGACTTTTATGTTGAACTGGTAGAAGTTTCTGTGGCTCAAATAGACCTATGTATTTACTGAAGTTAGTTGTGCATATGTTTATGTGCATTGATGCTATTGTGAATGTGTGGAGTTCAAAGGACAACGTGCAGGCTTTAGCTCTTTCTTCCACCAGCTCAGGTAGTGAAACTTGGTGACAGAAGCCTTATCCTGCGGAGCTACCTTGCCACATAGACTTTTACAAGGATACTAGTGACATTAGACATTAGAATAATTGCATGCTTGCTTCTACAAAAGGAAGAAAACACTGTGATTCCCTACATCTAAGAATGAGCTCCTCCATTAATTGATGCTGTGACTTGGGGACTTCTTGGTTCTGGACCTCAGAGTTCCTTTTTTCCTCTTCTGTGAATTAATCTACACTTAGAAATGCTGAAATACAGAATGAGCTTACTCAGTTTTTCTATTGCCATTTCACAGAAAGGCATTTAGATTTCCTGTAGATGTTTGAAAATGTTTATTGTATCATTCATGCCTACACTAATGCAAATTATATTCTAATACATCTAATGCAGATTTGTTTTATGTAATGTTTCTTTTTAATTAAATTAAAATGATATGTCTTAACTAGGCTTTTAGCCATGGGTTGGCAGCTGATTTGAAAATTCATTGAAGTGCTTTTTTTATTCCTGGATTTTGTCCATTTTAAGGGAACATATGTAGTTGATTGCTGCAAACACTTATAACTAGATGCCCAATATCAAACATTGACTTGGGAATGAATGGATTAATTCTTATTTTCTGTTTTCTTTTTCATTTAAATTAAAGGTCAAGGTATAATCTCCAGGGTTTTTTACACAGTTAAATATCAGCTTAATATTTTGACTTCTAAGAATTTTTATTGATGATATTAAAGATATAACAGTTCACCTTCTTGCAGCAAAACATTAAGAACATTGTTGACTTGAACACTGAATATGACTCACATTATTATTAATGTTTGTTGATTATTTTCAACACTCTGGTGTTGTGATGAATTTCATATAATGACATATGTTGCCTTTTTAGATCTTTGTGGTAGTCATGAATCTGGATAGGTTAGGATGTCCATTTCACTTGTGAAGAAACTATCTAAGAGAGGCTAAATGATTTGTCTAATTTGTATGTTTATGACAAAGTCCATGAACCATAGGCTCTGTTCTTTGGTCTAGAATCTTTAACATCTCCACAGCAATGGGATAAATGAGAGGTTAGTAATTCCCACTGAATCGTCAGCTGGTATTTGAGTTTAGCAGTCTCTAATTATTTTATTTGAATTGCATTTTCTGTGACAACATTTCTCACATGACGTATCTGTTAGTTGTGTTTCTTCTGGGAATATTGTAGCTCTCATTCATTTCCCAGGGCATCTCTCTGGTCCAATGAGTTAACCTCTTCTTGTCATATTACTTACTGTCTTTATCTCATGAACTATGACCAAATGTGACAAGGATTCTAGTAGAAAAATCTTTGGTTTTATATACTTTCAAGCTTGATCTTTATATAACTTTACATTTCAAATTAAAACAAATATTACTTTTTAAATAAAATAGTTTCTATATTATAAGTAAACATCTTATGAAAATATGTAATTGTTTTTCTGGAGGTATCTGAGAATATGAAAATTTAAACAAAATTTGACCTTCTCAGCAAATAAAACCTGCATCTGCTTAGCCTTGACCTCAAAACACCATTCTAGTGAAGTATCCGGAGAGGTGGCCAGCACAATCAATATGCATTCTCAGAGCATGAAAATAAGCTCTCAGGTGTCTGTCCATGCCTCTGAGCATCAAGACTTCTAGTGGCTTGAGAAAATGCTCATGTACTCCTACTTTCAAGAAATCCTGGCCCCAGGAAAGTCCTGGTTGGTGTTGAGGCTCCCTCTCCTGGTGAAGGTTTCAACTGAGGAGCAGGGTGGATTTTTTTTTGTCACTTTTTTTATTATTATTATTAGTTCAAATTAGGAACAAGCTTGTTTCACATGTCGATCCCTTCGCCCTCTCCCTCCCCTGACACCCATTCCTCCTCCTATTTTTCCCTGGTGTAAGAAGCAGGGTGGATTTTTAAGCTACCTTTTTTCTGTATATCAGTTATAAGACTCTATAACAGTTAATAAAGTTTAGATTTAGTCACTCTTTTCTATGTTGTTAAAATACATCTAAATATATTCTATGTATGCATATGATTTTCAAAAATTGGTCATATAACCATTTAAACTCTTGTACTAACTGAACAAAATGCTCCAAATCCTAGATTAACTAGTTCTTTCCTCTGTTTCCCTCACTCCCACATATCCTCCATCCCCTCCCACCCCATTCCAGGAATTGGAAAATATCATCAGCCAGATGATGCACGTTGCAGAGTACCTTGAATGGGATGTCACTGAACTTAACCCGGTAGGCATATGGATGAGTAAAGTATTCACTGATGTGTGCATGGTCGCTTTCCTTTTCAGTTTTCTCAGGACCTAATGTTTTGTGATCATTTGTTTTTAACTTTTGTGTTTCAATCACTATATATAACAGGAAGTTGAGTTGATTCGGCATGGAATGATAGGGTCCATGTGGTGTTCTGAAGTTGTAGGCAGCGACCTTGGCTCTTTCTTCGTCATGTTTATTATAATGTTATGAATGGTGAGATTACATACAAAGGGTAAGTGGACACTTCTGATGGCCATTGCCAAGGTCATGCTACATAAGGGGCTGCTGTGTTTACATCCAAGGTGCATGGTGTCACCCTCCTGCATGTTATTTGCGCCTGTAACTGGAGGATGCACTAATATACTTACTCCCTAGGTGGGTGAACTGAGACCCAAATATGTTGAAATTGCTAACTCAAGGCTCTACAACTACTTAAAAACACAGAGAGGAAAATTTTACTGACTTATTTAAAGAAACAGTGTTTAAAACAATAAAGATGTCTTCTAAGAAACTGAAGATGTCTTATTGTGTATGAGTTTAAAAAAAAAACTCCAGCATCATTAAAATGTGTTGAAATATTCCTTTTTAGGCAATTTAACTTTAGACACTTGACTGCTTAAATGTTGAAGCACATTAAGTTTATGAAATGTCATGAAGAGAGCAATTCAGTTTTGTTTAAAAGGTCTTCATACCATATAAATCTGAGGAACTTATTTGTAAATCAGCCCTCACATTATACAGCTACCTTCATGATAAAGCTCGAGATGCCCTCTCCTCCATCTTAATCAAAGGCAGGGAAGTCCTGAGTCCTTTGAATACAGTGACACCATTCTTACCAGGATTGAGACTTTTTCCTGTTCTCATGTTCTAATTCAACTGCATTTTGGTTGCATTGGTTTTGTGGTGAAAATGTGCCTATGCTCACAGCAAGGGACACTGTCATTCGAACTTGTAGTTTGTCTATGGAATTCAAGGAATCAGTAAGTGTGTAATTAATTGAAGAATTCATCTCAATAATCTACTAAAATCATGAATAGAAGTTCTGTTGTTCCTTTTGATCAGAAAAAAAAAAAAAAACCTAGATTAGTATTTTCCCACCTGTTTAGCTTTCTGTCTGTGACAACTGTTCATCTGCTTATTCTCATGGGAGCGAGGGAAGGGGAAAACTGTTTCTATCAGTTGTCAAAGCAGAAGTAGATAACCACAAACTTGCCAGAAAACATGTTTTTTGGTGCCTAGTGTTGTTCCAAAGTGAGATACAGGTGTTCCAAAGGAGGCAGCAGTTGGTGGCTGAACATTTGACCGTGACTGATATCTATTGGAGATTACAAATAACAACAATGGCATCATTTGTCTGAGTTATCATGATAATGTTGGCCTCCCATCTGGACAGAACAAATAGTAGAGAGTTATGTAAACATCCTTACTTTCAACATGGGTTTGCTGTCATAGCGCACCACCTTATCTTGCTACAGCCTCAACAGCTCTTTTCCTTTTAACATTTATAGACTCTTTTTCATATACACAAATAGAGAAAGTGAACACGATGGGGTTGCTAGAATCTAACAGGAAGACCTAGATGTCCTTGGCCAGAACTTGTTAAATGAATCCAGGCTCTAACATTGGGTTTAGTAAGCATGAGTTATTGAAGTATGAGGCTGAGTATGTATGGTATATCATTTCAGTCCCATCACTCTGGCACTAAAGAAGGTGAGGTATTCAGCCAACTTGAGCTAATTATTAAGCCCCTTCATTACAAAGCCAAAAATCAGGCATACTTTTGTGAGACAAGTCTCACCATGCCTTGTTTTTTGCTTTGACAGGATCTCACTATTTAGTATAGTATGGCCTCAAACTCCCAGGATTCCAGCTCCCGGGTCCTGGGTGCTGGCATCTCAGGTATGAGCCATCACAACAAGCTTATTTCTCTTACTTGATCATCTCTAGTCATTCATACACATATCTGAAAGTGAAATAATGTTTCAATCAGATCTTATGTCATTTTATCAAATTCCAAATGTTTTGTCTTTTATTCTGAAGATAATGAAATAATGATGGGGATGTGACCTGCTCCCCAAAGTCTTCTCCATTCAACAGATCCTTGTTGCTAGCAAAGGAAACATTCTGACAAAAGACACCAAACAACCAGGCAGAAGGCAAAGGAACTACTTTTTACACTTCCAATTCAAGGATCACATTCATAACATCTTTTCACATCATTGTTCTCAAGATGTTTGGATGTATTTTTCAAACTGATTTAAATGCCTATTTTATATAAAGGCAATGTATCCCTTATTCTTCTATGTTTCTAACATACATAATCATATCTATGAATTTATACTTACATAAAATGTATATATTTGTGTTAATAGTCACCCAAACACTAAATGGAACTTCCTGTTTATGCCAGGGATCTTTAACTTAACTAATACATCATCTCATTACATTTTCCCAAACCTTTGAAATAATCATCCACATTATCACCACACTCTAAAAAGGTGACTGTTTCACAATCACCCATTTTTGTACATTACTTGCAAGCTGTCTTCAAAGAAATCTAATGAAATATGATTAGACTTTAGGCTTTGGCTCTGTTAAATTGTTATAAGCAATTAAGAACAACTTAATTCCCTCACCTATTACTACTTAACAAAGAATTATTTGAGCTCTTTAACATGATGTTAATTTGTCCAGACACTTTCTGGCATATATATGAACTTAAAACATGATCTTGAGGAAGTAATTAGAGACTACTATCATCATTGTATTAAAAGTACCTTTTACTTCTCACTGTGTGGCTGGTCTTTGGGGGAAAAAGTTTAAAAATTGAGCTCCTGCTTCTAAAAAACCCATCATCATGGAAAGCCTGTTTTTATAAATCATAGCAAAGTCAACTATCTTCCCAATAAAAGAATTAATGTATTTATTTACAGACATTTTCTCTACTCTCACTAAGTGTCTACTCACAGTATGGGCTAAACTGTTGGAGGTAATGACCTGTTGAATTATAACGATTTTATAAATTAAATTCTTTTTACAGATCCTCCATGAAATGATGGAAGAAATTGACTATGACCGTGATGGCACTGTGTCTCTGGAGGAGTGGATTCAAGGAGGAATGACGACTATTCCACTTCTTGTCCTGCTGGGCTTGGAAAATGTAAGCCTTTGCACTGGGTCCCTGAGACACTCTTTGGCAGCATTCCATGATCACATGATCAGGAGAGTGGGTCATCTTCTACCATTCACCATGTAGTGAGTCTCTTAACTTCTAGTAATCCCACAGTGTGGTTTTGTGAAACACAAATCCATGGAAAACAAAATGTTGCACATAGGTATGTAGGAAATATAAATGGGATTGGGGCTTAGGAATGTCTGTGGATGTAGGAATACAAAAGCAGGCTTCAGGGGATTGGCATTGTCTAATTTCCATCTTGATCCCCCAGATTTTTTGCTGTCTCTCTCACCTTCTTCCTCAGAAGATCCATGGAATTTCAGATGTAGTCACAGGGCAGAAAGTTGAAATACATATGGGAATTATCCTTAAAATAATTTATTAAAAAGTATATGCTATTCTTCACAATTCTGGTTTGAATATTTAACTTTATATGAGGACTTAGGGATTATCTCAGTCTACTGCTTTGTGAATAAGGATAAATTAAGAGAAAGATTACAAAAAAAGAAAAAAACACGCAAGGGAACTAACACATTCATTCACCTTGAAAAATGATGAAGTATGTTTTGATCTTTGCTGTACACAATCTCTAATTTTTAATGATAAATTCCCATATAGCTACATAGTATTTTATAAGGAAATTATGAAGAAAGCATAATGTCAAGAGATCAATGAGGAAAATAAAAGGAAAACAGTAAAATGGCAAAGTTATAAGGTTTACTGCAGCAAAGTACAGCTGTCAGATAAGTTAGGATCCATAGCACAAATTCTACTTGGTATTAATAATAACAACCCAGAGACAGATATTGGGGTTAAAACTGAAAGTCAGGTAAGCAAAGCAGCCAGTCACTAGCTCTTTCCTTTAGTGAAAGCCCCAGGAATCCTCAGATTGAATATGACTGCATATGTCTCCTCAAAACCCAAGACTCCAAAAAGTTCCTGTCTCCTCTGCCTTATATTCCTCTCTCTGCCCAACCATATCACTCTTGTCTCCATCTTGCTAGTGTTGGGATTAAAGGTGTGTGATCCAAAGTGCTGGGATCAAAGTGTGAGCTCTGTTTCTCTTTTAGACTAACTCATTGTCACTTAGGGCAGGGAGGACTTGAACTCACAGAGATCCATCTCTCTCTCTCCTGAGTTCTGGGATTAAAGATGTGTGTCACGACTGCCTGGCCTCTATGGCTAGCTAATGTCGCTAGCTTTGCATTTTGATCTTCAGGCAGGCCTTATTTGTTATAACATAAACAATTATCACCACAAGGATCTTGCAAAAATACCCCTTTCCCAGAAATTAAATCCACAAATTCAAAACTAAAAGTTGCAAACTCTAAGTGGAAGAGATCATATAGGAGGAGGAGGGAAGGTGTGGGATGTATGAAGGATGTGCGGTTGTCTGGCGCTGGTGAGGTGGCTCAGTGGGACAGCACCTGCCTACCATACTACCCAGAGCCCCACAGAAAGAAATAGAGCAAAAGCAAGGAGTTTGTAAGCTTGAATTGAGGGAAGAAAACAAAACAAACAAAACAAAAGCCTGACAAGATATTTTTATTTGGAAGTAATGGTTTAGCGATTTTAAAATATTATACCACATAAATACTTTGAAAAATCATTTAAAATAGCATTTAACTATAGATCTATAAAATTTTAAATCAAAGATTTAAAGAAAGACTGTACTTCATTTTAGTGTGACAGTATCCGGATAAAAACCTTTGAGTTTGATTTAGCAGTTAGTTATATGTAGTTTCTGTTACCACTGTATTGAAAATTAATTCTTTATGTTTTGGGTGCAAAAGGATTGTTTGGAATTTAACAGGAGAAATCGATTTACGGGGGAGTGGGGGGGCGGTCCTTGGTCACCCGGACTGTCTTCCCAAATATGGCCACTAGATGGCAGTGCAACGTTGCTTAATACAAAGATAGGTTTTTTTTTTTTCGTTTTTTTTTTTTTTTTTTTTTTTTTTTTTTTTTTTTTTTTTTTCAAATATGGGATTGAACTTTTTCCCCCCCGCTGTAAAAAAAAAAAAAAAAAAAAAAAATTTAAAAGGAATTTCACTCCATTTAGTTTTTTTCATATAAAGGTATAATGTGACAATTTAAATTCAATTTAAATAAAATGATAACAGCTGTAAAACATGATCTCGGTTAACAGCATCTACTAGAGAGATAACTCCTTAGGGAGACCTCAAAGACAGCTGAGTGATGAGTGAGCCATTGTTTTTTAAGAATTGAAACTTGCTTCCTTCCTGCAGGCCCTTACTGTGTTATCACTCACAAAGGATTCCATTCATGGCATTCTGTGTCCCCTCCACACCCATCCTGGATTTGCCTATTAAATTGGGAATCTCTGTGCAAATCTTGAAAGTGGCCATTCATGTGAAGTCTGCTTTGCTAAATTGTCGTATACATTTGTGCATATGTTCAGGTGTGACCTTGGGGAGTAGATCCTAAATGACCACCTCCTAACTGTCATAGTATATTTGAAAGCTACTGCAGTGTGCTAGCCAACCTGTCCTGACAAGAGTGGACCTGGGAAGCACAAAGCTAGACCAGCACTTGATTTCATTGCACTTTACTATTTCTATTCATTACGTTTCCAGGCACTTCTCATTTTCAAGTGTGTCTGCTTTGCTCCCTAAACCAGAAGTCATTCCTCGTGACCTGATACTCACTAAATTACTATAAAGTGGCTGCCATTTCTTTTCCCGTCCAATAGTTTCTACAAATGTCACAAAATTCCAAACAAACTAATCAGAAAAGGACAAAGTATTGCAGTCTGACAGCTGAGGGTAATTTAAGAGCTTTATGTGTTTGGTCACCTAAGAATTCTGTCCTCCCTTTTCAGGATTCATGTCATTGAATAATGTTTGCTTTTTGTTCCTTCATTTGTTTGTTTGTTTTCTGGACAGCACTTTGCTTAAAACTTATATAACTCAGATTAAGAAAAAAAAAAAAAAACTGAAAGTCATGTCTTCCAAGACCATTGGTATATAAGGCTTGCTTGAAATGGTTAATTGCAAAATGTTTCAGCCTCTCTTTTTTTTTCAAAACTTAGAAAACTAAGTTTTCTTTATTATATACAGAAGGAGATGGCCCGACTTCACTCTGCCATTTCAGTATAGTGCCCTTGTGAAATCTTGGCAGAAATCCAAGTTCTCTGTACAGGGTTAAAGCTTTGAGTCAGGTAGAAGAGCTTCCTCAAGGTGGAGGAACACTGACCATTCTACCGGATATTAAATATGGCTCTGACAGTACTTAGGGCCAGTGAGGAGTAGCATTGAGTCACTCATAGGTACAAGAGATGCCCACAATTAAAGGAAGCTAGCAGGTTTGTGACAGAAACAAGACTAACATGTTTCAATGTATCAGAGAATAAAAATGTTACTCTTTGTTAGTAGTTACTACTTCTTTAGAGACTAGAAGCTGATTATAAAAGATATTAAATAATTTAGGTACCAGGGCCACATGTCTTTAAACTCCCCTCCATGATGTGATAGGATAAAAGCAATCACAGTTCTTATATAAATGCTTGAACAAAACTCTGGTTCAATAAAGATTTATTCACAAAAGCAATTTACTAACCAGATTTTGAACAGTGCTATGGTTTGTCAGAATCTGATCTAGACTGTCACTGTTTTGTTTGTTTGCTTGCTTTTGTTTTTATTTGTAAGGTCTCATTGTGCATTCCAGGGCTGCCTCAAACTTAAGATCGTTCCTTGGGATCCTGAGTGCTAGTACTATATGTGTGAGTCACTAGGTCTGCTGTCATTATGGTTTTACATGTTACAAACAAAAGTAACTTCAATTAATTTTTAGCTAGTCTTGAGAAGCAGAGAAAGAATGCAAATCTAGGGACACTGTAACAATAGGACAACTCCATCTAGTTATAAGAAGTAATGAAAAAATGAGTATAGAGCAAAGATACCTCTGATAGTCCCCTCAGCGTACATTAACTGACAAGGAAAAGAAACAGTGCTGTACATGGCTGCCCTTCCTGACACTTCAGAATTTAAGGATTCCCTCCTTCGGACACAAGAAATAGAAATGCTTCAATTCTGAAATCTATAGTCCTAAAATTATAATAACGATTTGAAATTATTAACATTAAATTTAGTGCATAAAACTATTGCCTGCTTAAAATAAGAAACTTTAACTCATCTTAAGAAAGAAATTATTTAGTTTCAAGCAGGCACGGTGGCACAGGCCTATCACCCAGCACTTAGGAGGCAGAGTGAGACTGCCAGTAGTTTGAGGTCAGCTTGCTTGACAGAGAGAGTTCCAGACCAGTCAGAGTTATATTGTGAGAGCCTGTTCCCAAGAAAGCAAAACTAAAAACAAAATCAAAACGTACGAAAAGATGTTATTTTATTTTAAATTTATTCTTTGATAATTTCATAACTACATACAACAAAAGGTGATCTGATCCTGCAACACCAGCCCCCAATTTCCATCTCCATTTCTCCTCAGTGCAATCCTCATATGCATGGGTATAGGGCCCCCCACTTTAGCACATATAACATGCCGGCAGTCACAGTCCCCCAAAATAAGTCTCTCTCCTTAATACAGTACTTCTCAACCTGTGGGTTATGACCCCTTTTTGGGGTTGAACCCTTTACAAGGTCATCTAAGATCATCAGAAGACACAGGTATTTGCATTATGATCATAACAGTAGTAAAATTACCCTTATGAAATAGTAATAAAAATAATTGTATGGTTGGGGGTCACCACAACAGAAGGAGCTGTAATAAAGGGTCACAGAAGTAGGAAGGCTGTAAACCTCTGCTTTAATACCTCTTGGCTGCCAATAGCATTCCTTCTAAGGATGAGTTTGCATGAGCCTTCCTCATCCATGCCTGCATTTTGGCTGGTTTATGTGTGGATCATGGGCAAATAAGCACATGTGTTGTGAGTTTATGAGTGCAGTGGCCGTGTCATGTCCAGAATACAGCCTTCCCAGCACTCCTCCCATCCACCAGCTCCTACAGTGTTCCCACTTGCCCTTCTTTACTGAGGTTCTATGAGCCTTGACACAGAAGGGATAAAGATGTCCCATTTGAGACTGAGAACTCACAGTTCCTGACACTGACCTTATTATTAGTCTCTGCATTGACTGCTGCCTGCTTCATAAAGTCTCTGATGATGGTTTAAAGAAGTCTTCTAAATATTTAGAAGATAGTCTCTCACAACCATTTAGCAAATCAGTACTAGAAGGAAGAACCTCAACTTTTTCATTATATAAGATGTGGCCACATTGGGCTTGGGCTGCATTTGAATGGAATGTTTTCATCTCACTACATGGCTTCAAAGAAATATGGCATTTAGTCTTTATATGTAATATATACTATGCCTTTGATTAAGAGTGTTTAAGAGTGCATTTTTCTTCATTCTTCTGCTTGAATTAATAACAAAGAAGGGATGTGTTCCCTGGTGAGATTTAAGAGTGACAGTCAGTGATGTGCTTTAATTAAACTAAATCATAATTGGCAAAAAAACTGATATGCCACATTTCAATTAAAATTTTAACTTGGTTAGGAATGTTTTGCCACTCTCTATCCATGGATCAATCTATTAAGGAGTTGCAAAACCAGGTAAGATTCAGGAGTCTGTTACAGGTTATTTAAGGAAAACTGTTATATTATTATACAGTGTGATATGGTGACATTTTGATTGGAGTGTCCTAAGGATAGCATGACCCCCCTCTGACTGTAGAAAGTACAGTCTGGAAATGAGCAATCACTGTGACTCTGTCCAGATATTAATACATCTCTATGCGTTCTTCGTGCCCAGACTTAATATAGCCCAACATTTTGCCAAAGAGAACAGATTTTACTATAGTGTTATAATTTTTGGAGATATTGGTGAAATATACAAGATACCATAATTGTCACTATCTAACAATGGAAGTAACTAACTTGAAACATTCTCTCTTCTATGTATTCAAGGAACTTAGTGAGATGTGGGTTTGGGGGGATTTGGCCTGGGATGTCAGTAAAATATCTTTTTAAAGTCCTTTGAAAATGTATACATTTTAGAGTAGCCCGGGTTCATTTGAACAGTGTGTATGTCCTGGAAAATGCTGAGAAAAAAAATAACTAATACTTCCAGAAACTATAGTATAAACAGGCAAATGACAATAAAACCAAAGCACATTCTTCTTTTCATTTTTCCACATGTGTTTGGCTTTTAGAAAACTGAAAGTAGAGGTAGTGTGCTGAAAGCATTTTCTTACTGTGGACTTGTCCAGGAATCACTGAACAGTCTTCCCTGTCATAGGCACAGACCTGTATTATATCTCGGATAGAGAAGAGGGGAAAAACAGTATTTTATAAAATAAAGTACAATGGATCCAGAAACATCCTTCTCAATGCTTTAGGCTGAAACATTTTGAAGTTACACAACTCAGCCCTATGATGTTAATAATATTTGCTGTTTATATAACACCAGTCTTCAAGGAGCTAAATTAACTTCGCAGGTATTGCATAATGAAACCTCACACTATGGCCCGAGAAAGGAAAGTGGGTGCCTTCATTTTATTAGACAGGGAAGTAGAAAGAAAAGCAAGACAGAGTTTCCATATTTTGTAGTAGGCCAGGATTCATGCCTTTTAAATTCTCTGCCGATTCCTTAAAAAATGCAAATTCCCTTCTTGATATATATTTATTTGCCATAAAAACATTAATAAGAATGTATTCTGCTGATAGAATAAGACTTATTCTTTCTCTTCTACCAAGTTTACAATCTAAATAAGATAAGACATGACAAGACATGAAATCCAGATAGCCAGGGTGCAATTTGCACTCCTGAGAAGGAGGTGGCTCTTGGTTCCCATTTCTTCTCTGAGAGAAGCCACATACATATTTCATCCCTGACATATTTGGGCAGTGCATTGGATGAAGAGCTATAAAACCATTAATTTTTTTTCCTTTGGTAAAGCATTTTCTGCCCGGGTAATAGATTTGTACATCACTTGCAGCCTGTAACATGGCTAAGTGTTCTGATTGACAGAACACCCACGTTCAGACTTGTTTATTTTTGATAAGGAAAATGCCAGCTAACTTGTCCATATGTGCTCTCCAACAGGATGAGGCTTATTCACATGGAATGGACAATCACTTAAAATGAAATGACAGGGAGTATAAAAACAGCAAAACATATGAAAATTAGAATGTGTCCCTTTCTCGTTTTACTGGAGAATTTCTTAAAGCAATGCACTTCTACTTTCAAAGATTATCAAAAATCAACAGTTTCATAGTAATACTTTTAAATCAAGATGTTTTTTTTTACCATGGTGGAAATAAAAATACAGATTACAGATTACCGCAAAATTATACACTTATTATCTTCTTTAGGCTGCAAAGCTACTAAAATTATGATGACATATCCAAACCAGTACTGAACTCAGAATTATTATGAAGTTAATTTTTTAAATTATGGAGGATAATTTTTAAAATTCTGTCTCCTGATGTAGTCTCCATGATAATCATCTGTACCCTTTCATAGCTGCTTCTGTTGAGAGCTTTCCAGTCCATTATCTGAAAGACAAATTTGAATATTGCTAAGCAATTGTAAAAGGCCTGAAACTAATCTGACCTTCAAGGTAAGGGATCAGCTCTCTACAGTTTCTGAGTACCAGAGAGCATGAGACCCCTTGGGCCAGAGACAGTTGGCTTTGTTACTCACAGCAAAGCAAGCACTAGACATTTCACAGCTCAGCTGGCTTGCCTTTCTTGCTTAGCCTAAGGAGATTAAAGAAGTGAGCCAAGCAAGGAACACAGCACTCAACTCAGAGCCTGGTACCTTGGACTGGGAATCCAGTCTCTATGTAGGACAGACGTCTGTTCAGCCTGTCTTCATTAGCAAGGACAACATATAAGTCTGTCCTCTCCTCTGGAGAGAGTGGAGTCTTTATTGTACAATCTATTTAATAACTGCTTGTGCTTTAAATGTCTTCTTGGGACAAAAACAAGTCAGTGCTCCTGCCTTCAAAACTTGCAGAACTTCAAGGGGCCCATTGACAAGTACCTCCCAGGAAGCATTTTCATTAATGTTTCATCTTATGATGCAAATTTGACATTTCTAATTCTAATGTGAGAATTAGTTACTATGGATTTATGGATATTATAAATCAGTGTCCTAGCTCTTACTGTGGTAAGAGAGAGTAGTTAGAAACATTATCATTAATATTTTATAATTAATAAAAATAAAATGATCTATGCCTGTGTTATCTTTCTATAGTACCCAAATACATAATATATATGCAGATATTAGTTGGTGAACACTCTGTAAGAAGCATGTAACTTGATATCTTGAAAAATTATGAATTATGTCAGTGTTGATAGAATAACTCAATAATTTCATAATTTCACACAAGTTGGTGAATGCTATATGAAGGGTATGTAATAATAAACAAAATGATGGTAACATGATAACGTCATGTATTTTTTTTACCCTTTTTTAGGACTTTAAACATAAAGTAGCATCCTATAAATTTGCGTTATTTTTATCTTGAGCAAAACAGATGTAATAAATGCCATTAGTTATTAAAATTCTGTAGATTTACTTAGCATAGTAAACAATATAGCACATTTTTTACTAAAATTGTGAATTAATGTAAACCCAGGGTTTTATTGTGACATGTAACTACAGTGATTTTTATAAACATGATAATGTTTATTGTGGATAAAATTACTATTCTTACAAGACAGCTAAATTAATGGTCATACAATTATACCCTTGTCCTCTTCATCAAAGTTAGTACTTATTACAGAATACATTCTTTTTTCCCCTTTTAAAACTTAAATTAGAACAAGCTTGTTTTACCTGTCAATCCCAGTTCAGGGGGTCTGTAACAGTCCTATGCTGGTTTCCCAGCTATCAATACAGAGTATATTTGTAAAGATTATATTATGGCTCTGCAGTTGAGGTCCTAGAATCACCATGTCTGACTTTTAAACATTGCTTGTGCCGTTATATCCCATTTTTCTGCCTTATAAAACCTAACTTTATTCTGAATTCTGTTTTTCCTAACACAAAACAATTAGTAAGAGTCTTAACAAGTTTCCATTTCTCAGGCTTTCAACCAAGGACTTCTCTCTTTTTACTCATTTGTTTGTGGAATTGTGTGCTAACCATGAGCTACTCAAAGGCGAGGCAGGCATGTCTCATGTTCGGGGCGAGTTCTGTTTGGCAGCCATTGTGGCAGAGGCTGGGAATGCTGTTGACATTAGGCAAGATTTCATGGGTTGTCACAGCATCTCAGAAATGTTGGCAGTATCTTGTTGGGCTAGTGCTCACGTGTTTTTCTGAAGTCTCCGTGGTGATCTTGTAATGTAGAGAGTCAGAGATGAGGGAACAGATTGTCTTCAGATGCTTCTGTCCAGCCTGAGCTTTCTTTATTGGCACATACAGAGTCTACTGTTTATTCTATTAAGTGAAATCTGTTTCTCTCACGGCCTGTGCAGAATGTGAAGGATGATGGACAGCATGTGTGGCGACTCAAACACTTTAACAAGCCTGCCTACTGCAATCTCTGCCTGAACATGCTGATTGGCGTGGGGAAGCAGGGCCTCTGCTGCTCCTGTGAGTACACTGGCTCTTCCTGATGTTGTCACATTGCTTGAGGGAAAACTGATCTCATGCAATCATTCTATTTGTGTGACATGCCCAAGACCCATAATGTTTATCATGTGTATTTCCCTGTAGCTTCTCAGTGTTCAGGTCTCCAAAAAACTTCCTTTCAAAAGAAACTAACGATATCTTCCAACTCCTTAGACATTTCTTTCTACTGTTGTTTAATTTAATGTATTCATATTTCTCATCTCTCTTTGGAATATTTAGACATCTTCCACTGCTTTCTCATATTTATGTACTATTTGTATTTTATATTTACCTCATATGTTAACCACTTTAATTGTAATTAGCATTTCAGGGTGAGATAATGCCTTCAAGTTTTTTTAAAAAGAAAAATAAAAGGTTTAGATTAATTGAATAAAAATAGATTTTATACATTGAAATTATCAAAAATTTTACAGATCCAGGTCTTGCTCCTTCTAGTGTGTGTGTGTGTGTGTGTGTGTGTGTGTGTGTGTGTGTTTCCCATGTGTTATTGTGTGTTCACGTGGAGGTCTAAACTTGACCTTATTAGTTTACCACACTTTACATATTGACTCAGATTCTCCTACTGACCAACAACTCAACTAGTGCAGCCCCTGGGAGACTCTGTCTCCAGTACCTGTGCTAGCCTCACAGATGGTCATTTTTTTAAATGAGTTGTTAGGAGCTAAACTCTAGTCTTGTGTGGCAAATCCTTTACCTGCTGAACCATTTCCCTAATCTCTCAGACACATTATTTTTACATAAAGAAAAATCTTCATATGACTTTTGTAGTCATAGGTGTATCAGGCATTATAAGTTATTTTCATTTTAATAATTTCTGTCCCCTTGCCTTACAATATTTATTTTATTCTAACAAATCCACACTACCAGTTAGAGATTTGCTAAAAGGGTGGGTGTGTACATATATGTTATCTAATTTATAAAATTATCTAGTGTCTATTTAATATACAGCATTATTACCTGAAAATAATGTTGATATTCCCTGAAGTAGGGATGAAGCTCCCCATTGATCCATCAGTTCAGCCACCTTCTTTTCTGCATTGTAGTATGCTTTGGAATTTGTTTCTCTGGGTGGATTATTTGACATTAAAACTACACCTAATGTTTTAGACATATATAATTTCTAAAGCACTAGGATCACTGTACCAGGCCCCCTGAACATGGGTGTCAGGTGCGGGTCCTGGGCAATCTACAAGGCCTCTAAGAGTGGGACCAGCATTTAGCCTTAGTGCACAAAGGAGCTTTGGGAGCCCATTCCCTATGGAGGAATATTCTCTCAGCCTAGATACATGGGGGAGGGCATAGGTCCAGCCCCAAACCATGTGACAGACTTTGATGATCCTTCATGGGAAGCCTCACCCTTCCTAGGGAATGGATGGGGGGATGGGTCCTTGGGGGAGATGGGAGAATGGGACGGAAAAGGAACTGGGATTGATATGTAAAATAAGATTGTTTTTAATTTATATAAATGTTAATAAAAATATTACATAATATGTTTGTAACATATCACATAAGAAGAACATTTCTGATGGCCACTTTGGAAGATTTAGATGTACTAGAACATTCTCCATGTACAAAAACATGTTTCAGAACTTCTATAACTTTTTAAGGGAGTGAACAATTTAGGGCAGATTTAATTGACTGAAACAATATAACTTTCAAAGAAGGAGTAGAGTATAATAGAAAAAACAGATTTTTGCCATATAAAATGGTTATTGGTATGTGTTCCTCCTTACTCTTGCCTGAGGAACTCATGTAGACAGGATGTTCCAGAGTTTTATTATAAAATGCTATGAGCATTATTTGCATACCATTAATAATTCAAGAAGTGAATTTTTAAGGTGCTGATACATTTTACTTTTACAAAATTCTACATATTTGTGAATCTGAGTCATTAGTTTGGGGTCAGCATTGAGGTTAAAGAACAAGTGGTCCAACCAATATTTAGATTGGAACCACAAAATGTGGAGATGCAACCCCTCCCATGTGTATGCTTTTGTTTTATGGTACAGATTACATACATGCATACATAAATGCATTTGCTGGTATTTATGTATGAGTATGTGCTTTCATACAAATGGCAAATTTTGCTTCCTAGAACCATACGTTGCCTAGTGAAGGTAGTGGTTTTGGAGAAACAATATCATGATGAAATATGAAAGATGAACTTCCTTGAAGGTCTGGCATGGATGATGAAATCTATTTTTTAGAAATAGACAAATCTGCCCTTTAAAGATTAGATAAGTCAATATACAAAGCAGTATAAACCATGGGCACTTACTCCCGTGCCTGTCAGCTGCTCTCATGTATGTACTTTGTGAAATATAGACCTCTTCCTTCTACAAATGACACCAAGCCATTTGGCAGCCATCAATTTGTCTTTAATATTTTTGTCATCTGGGAATTATTGTGAAAAATTTGAGCAAGGACTGATTTAATTAAGCATTTCCTGCTATGCCATGATAGAGGAGACTTGGTTTCTCATATGCATACTATTTCCTGTACTAATTGGCCTTTTGTATTCCATGATAAAAACAGCCGACTTGGACATTTTTCCTTGATGTGGCTGATTGGATTGATTAGGGAACTGTGGATGTGAAATGAGGTTCTGTTAATGTCATTCCCTCCTTGTAAAACTGCAATCAGGACCAGGGTCAGCTCTGAATCTGTGTACCTGCTTCCTTTCAGTCTGCAAGTACACAGTCCATGAGCGCTGTGTGGCCAGAGCCCCTCCCTCCTGCATCAAGACCTATGTCAAGTCAAAGAAGAACACGGATGTAAGTTCGGCTACACAGACTTTCTAGATGTGTCACCATGGTTACCTCCTCTTATCACCTATTCTTCTTCTGTTCTAGGTCATGCACCATTATTGGGTTGAAGGCAACTGCCCAACCAAGTGTGATAAGTGCCACAAAACAGTTAAATGTTACCAGGGCCTGACGGGGCTGCACTGTGTTTGGTGTCAGACCACAGTGAGTAACACATGACAAGCTGTCCTGGAAGGGGTTCACAGTTAGAATAAATCAGCTAAAAGCTTAGGGGTTTCTTATATCATCTGCCTGAGGCTTAGCTTTGTCCTTACAGAAGCCAGGATAATATGAGTGGTCTTAGAGATAACATGTTTATATGATTTTTGCATGAGGTCCCACAAAGCTCCAGAAGTTCCCAAGAAAGCAATCAGAAACCACAGATGAAAAGTTGGCAAACAGAAGGGGTTAATTTCTATTTGGGCATCATTGTTTCCTGGGACACACATTCACACATTCCCCCAGCTGCATTGTGAACTGACACAAAGAGCTTTTGATGTAATAATAACTAAAGGCCTTCATGAGATGTTCTGGGATACTACCAAGTTGACTGCCAAAGAGCTCCAAGTTACTTGGGAATAAAAAGTTATCAGATGACCCAGCTATATCTGAATAATTTCTAAAATTTAATGTAAACAAACATCTCTTCTTTTTTAGTGTTTATTAGCCTGGGGGTGTTTTGTTGTCTTGTTTGGTTACCACAGAATAACATATTGGTCCTAACATTATTAACAACCTTCCCTTTGTCTGAATAAGCCGAAGAAGAAGCTGTTTTAATTATGCAGATCATTTTTTTGGTGGACCTACAGTGTTCTGCCCAAATTTACATGTTAAACAATCTTCTCACACACACACACACACACACACACACACACACACACACCACGAATAATGCAAAATACAAGTTGACTTACATTTAAAATGTAATTGAGTATTTTAAAAACTGATCATGGTCTCCACTCATTTTAGTTATCTCTGAGTAATCTCAGAATTTTAATTTTCAGCAAGAGTAAGAATACTTTTATTAATTTATTGATTTTGTAGCTAGATAACAGAATATATATTTAGTATCATTCATATATTTCCTTGAGCCATTTTATGAAAAATTTGCCATAAAACTGATCTTTCAATTAATGGTATCAATTGAGAGATATCTCCAAAGATCTAAATGCCATCTTCACTTTCTGGGAATCAGGAGGGTGCAGAGAGATACGGCATTGTCCATATGAGCTGTCTAAGTGGCCTCCTGAGTGGATTGCATGGGGAACTGCATATACAGAAGAGTAGAAGATGAATATGGCAGCTTTAAGACTTTCCTGAAAAGCCATTACATACTTTGTATGGCTTGAAATCATAACTTGAGGAAAAGAGATTATTAAAATGCCTCTGTCACTTATAAGCTATGTCACTTTATCCATGTACTGAGTCACTTTGTGACAATATTCTACATGGTAGAATGGAATTCCAATACGTATCCCATAGGATTGTCTAAGGATTAAGTGGGTAAAATGTCAGTGTAGATGTATTTAGAAATGGAGCAAATACTTAGTGAATGCTTAATGATTAAGTATCAACTCAGTGGGCAATCGGTGAAATAGGTAAAATTTGTCATGGGTGCCTAATGCCAACCCTGGTGTTCATGAGGCACTCCATGAGTGGTACTCATGATATTTATGTCTCATTTTGGGAAGATTTATAACTGGAAACTGCCCAATCCTAGTCAGAACAGTGCTTATGTCTTTAAAGAGCATAAAGGGAATTTTGTGGCACCAAGCATTAAAAACTTTCACATCAAGGTCTCAAGAGCAAATACTCAACCCTTACCCTGTCCCTTACCCTGCTGATCCCAGCCCAGGTTTCTAGTCACTGTGGGAGTAAGAAGTCAGTTTTGCCCTGTCTTTCACATTATCTCCTTCACAGAGCTGAATGCTAAGCCCTCACATTTCTTCCTTAAAATATCTCTCCCAGATCTGAGATTTTTGACTTCACGTTCCCAACCTTAGTGCAAGCTCTCAGCACATCCCGACTGGATCAGAGTAAGAATCTCTTGGCTCATTTCCCTGACAGAAGGTACTTCTCTAATGTAGGCTTTTATTCCACCACCAGAAAAAACTTTTGAAATACTAATTTCTTATAATATGCCCTCTTCAGCAATCTATAATAACTCCATGATAGTAAATGCAGCCTCCCCATTGCTTACCTCATTTTGATTTTGAGTTCCACAAAGCTCAGACTTAAGTATGAAGCATAAGTCCTTGTATTAGTTTTCTCCACTGTCTGCCCTATTAAGGTGGATTTCTGCTGAGGAAACCCCTGGGAAGGCCATGGGTAATTCCCACCTCTCATTTAACACTTCCAACTTCAGTTCTGTATTTCTGCTAATATTTTATTCTTCAGACTATTTTTTTACTTTATTTATAAAGGAAACACTGGATAGTTCTCTCATGGTCTCATTTCTGTGTGTCAGCACTGCTTCTATTTTTCCTCCAATGCTACAGGTTGATGGTCCATATTTTCTAATCATCTGAAGCTCTGGCTGGAGGGACAGGTTTTGAGGAAGTCCTCGGGTTCAGTAAAATGACTAATATGCTAATCTTCTTAGTGTTAATTACTGAATTTCAAATGCACTTCCTTTTGAAATTCTGTTTCAAAATATCTAGTACACTCAAATTGCATCAGATAGTTCAGTGACTTGCGAAAGGTCAATGACAAAAGTTGATTTCAGCACCTCTATGTCAGTGCAACCTCATTGTATTTAATTCTTTATTTTTAGCCTACCATCTTGTAGATATACAGCTAGGTTCTAAGAATGAAGTTTTTTGTATTCTAAATCTTCCTACTTAGCAAGGAAAATCGGTAAAAGCATAAGGAAGGAACAGTGAAAATCTGTATCTACCATGTAAGCAACTATTTTCTGTGCCTTCCATTTCAGTCCTCTAAACCAGGAAAATACTCACTTTTGTTTTTGCTTATGTCCTGACTCCATTGAGTGCAAGCTTGACATAGTTTTTACTCTGTGTGCTCAGTAAAAATGCCTTAAAAATGGCTCAACCACTGTTTCTGGTTGAGCCCTTGTGAAGCATAAATCACTAGGATGCAGTTATTTGAGAACATTTGAATGACTAACTTGATATCATGTATGGAATTACTTTTAGTGAAAAGATTAAGCTCAAATGGTTTTTAAGTTTTCCAAGCCATAGTATGTTTTTCTTTAGCAAATACCATCATTAAGGAAGTACCCCGAATTTGTAAAATATTGATGTTACAGGAAAGTGTCAACTAACAAATACAGTTCTATAAGTCAGGCCACTGAACTTATGTCATAAAAACTAACTTCCTTCTTCTAATAAATATTTTCCTACTTTCCCTCACTTTTTCTACTATTCACTTCTCTCATTAGCTCATCTCCACTCCATAACACACACACACACACTTTTCATCCAAACTTGAAACAGATTTTTCTAATAAACATAGAGCTGGCTCTAAATTAGGTGCTACTGTGAGCTGTCAAATTCTTAAATTACTTCCAAGTGTTTAACTCAATTCTAATTCCAAGAAAATCTGGTTCATATTATATGACTTTCCTAGATATAAGCCTGTATCTGCTATCCTAAAGGAGAGTTTTGGGCCATTTTAAAAAGAAACTTTGTTTTTTGTCTCATCTTTTAAAATATACAAAGATAGCTTTGTGGACAGCATTTTCAAAAGGACTTTTGAAAGGTGAGAACTATTCCCTCTAGATATTTTGCTCAAAAGGCAGGATGAATCTGTTCTCTAGTTCATTTATAACCTCGGGGAAGACCTCAGTGTCTCTGTTTTTCCTTACTTTGGGAATGTGTCCTTGAAGACAGTCAACAATCCTTGGCATTTTATGGACACTCTGTCTTTTTTATACATTCTGACTCATGTAATAACATGACAGCCAGTTGTCCTAGCCTGATTGTATTGCTATCACATAATACTACAAAGTAGGTAATTTTCAATATAAATGGTTTTGTTTCTTACATTCAGGAGGTTAAGGACTTCCAGACTGAGGGTGTATGTCATATTTAAGCTTCTTCCTGAGTTGTAACTTGACAGATGGCATCATATACCAAGACAAAATGAAAATATGCTGTTTTCTTTCTTCTGTTTCATGGAGTTCTCTCATACCACCATCTAGTTCAAGTTAGTTCCCCAAGGCTCTGTCTCCAAATACTGCCCATGTATGAATTTAGAGACTGCTCCCAGTATATGGAATGTAAAAAAATGTATTTAAGATACAGCACCAATGTGAGAAACTTGCTATTATTACTGGTGAGAGATATTGATAGTTTTTGCATTGTCACTTCTTTTGAAAAGACACATACACACCTGTTCACAAAACACATTGTTACCAGTAACCTTAAGAAAACAAATTTTGTTTGAACTTTATTATATTGTTTATGTTTTGTTGAGAACTGTATTTTTAGAAGATTTGTTTGTTTTGAGCATTTTAACTTTACAAGAAACATAACACAAAATTTATGTTTGATAGTTTTGGTTTCTAGCTCTTCATTTGTTTTCCTAGTTTCTGTTTTATTGTCAGGTACATTTCTGGGCAAAGGGATGCATCAATGACATCTGCTACACAATTTGAATCACAGCTTGCAAAAATGGTCAGTGCTTTTACCATGTTGCCCACAGATTTGCTCTTTCCCTCTTTAAAGAATATCATACAATGGACAACCATTAGTATATATTTTCCAGATATCTGATTATGGTTTTCCTTTTAAAATGAGATATTCCATGACATTGTTTGTTAACACAAAGCTCTTTCTTAAGAGAAGTCCCTTTTAGTATGTGTTTCTGTTTTACTGACAGGCAAGATACTTACTTGATTATGGGCCCTGATACAGGCTAATGCTTTAAGATTCCCCCATGTTGCCCAGAAAAAGCTCAGAGCTGTAGGACATTGTGGCAGTTACACTTGAAGCTACTGTACAGGGTTAGTTGGGATTATAAAGGCAGTATTCCACGAGATCTCTTGTGAATTGAACCCACACTCACCCTAGTCTCCTGGTCCAGTCCCTAGTTCTTTCCATTTAGGACTTAATATACATTTTTACACTAATTGTATTTATTGTTTATATTGGAAATACATCAGATGCAGGGGCAAAGGGAATGAGACTCAAATGGTATCTGTGAGCAATTCTCCTTCTTTATCTGCATGTGTGTCATGTCAGAAGTTCCCAAAAAAGGAAGAATCAAGTGCAGTCTCACCATGCACACAGGAGGCTTGTCTTATCAGAAAGCTCTGAACCTCTTGCCCTCAATTTTAAGATATTTACACAATATCGAAGAGTAAAATTTTATCTCTGTGGCAAGCAGAGATCAAGAGAAGCCCTAAGACACAACTTCTGCATGAGATTTTCATACTCTCATATGTTCATTTTCTAGAGCTCATATAACAAAATGCCATAAGATAGGTGGTTTATGACAACATCAATTTGTTGTTTTATCACCAGCGAGACAAGAAGTCTAACATAACAATGTCAGCAAGGCAATATGCCTGTGAAGGATTTGGGGAAGTGTCCTTTGCCTTTCCTACGTTCTGACAGTTCTCTGGAAGTCCTTGGTGTTGCATGCTTTGTACAGACAGTACTCACATATCAATCTCTTGTAACATGCAACATTCCCACTCTTTCGGTATCTCCCAATACAGATTTCCTTTTCCCTATAAGGCTTCTAGTCAGTAGATCTGGCCCAGAAAAATCCAGCATGAATGTATCTTAACTAGTATATATTAACATATATTCTATTTATTTAAAAAAGTTTCACATTGACTGGTATCAGAAGTGAAGATTTTGACTTTTACATAGTATACAGAGTAGAACCTATCCACCTCACACTTGGCAGCCTGTTGCCAATGCATACAAATATCCAGGACTATTATTTATGTTATGAGAATAGCTTCAATAAACCGATATATTTAAGAGCTAGTTTATGGAAGCTGTGTTTTTCTTGCCCAAGCATAGTGTAGGTTTACTTAGTTCTATTGTACACAGGGATTAGGCTATTTCTCTATCTTTAATGCCTCTTATCTCTTGGCAAAAGTCATCACTGCTTAAGAAGATGCTCACCCTACCTTTCTAGACATGTTTATGTGCTACTGTGAGAAAGAGATGCTTGTTGGATGGATACATAAAGGTACTTTTATTTCCTATAATGCAGCCAAATGGGCACTAACTATAGAACAAACACTTGAACTCCAAGGCAGGGGCCTTGTGACAGATGTTTTAGAATATAGTACAGCAGACATCTTCCTTCAATGTAGTTCTGTCACCAATAGTAAATCAACAATGTGTGTACACTCAGTGGCTTACTAACTGCTTAACTAGGGAATTATTACAACTATGGATAAATGGAGCAGACTTCTGAAATTAGTTGCAAATAAAGATTGCTATGGTATTTTTTAACAAGGCGCATTACACTGTTAAAATATATGGTTTCCCTGAACTATGAATATTTTATACTAAACTGATATAAGGTGATAAGTGAGTGATTTCTAAATATTTTTGAGTAAGAATTATTTTTATCAAATATTTGACTGATCATCACATTGATTTAAAACATAACTAATTAATACATTTTCTTATACATTTAAAATTAAAGTTGTGATCAGGCTTGATAAAAATATCAGCTAAGTTTCATACATATTGTAAAATAAATATCACATTATATGATTACATGCTAACTGAATGCCGGGCTGGTAAATACAATATAAAGATACACTTTTATAATCATAATCATCTTCTTTTATTTATATCCTGCTCCTACTGAGATGAATCTCAGGTTACATTTACATATTGAATTACAAAGTTAAAACTAATGATGGGATCAATTATGCCCCATACTGAGCTGTGCACTTTGGAATGACTTTGAGAAAACAGGAGGGTCAAAAAGAAAAAGAAAACATTCACAGTGCACAGTAGTTTCAAGATTATGCTGAAAGATAAGCAGGGGAACACTGTAATGGGCAATAATTTGTGTTTGTCACAGAAAGCAGGATTGTTAGATATAAAATTTGCAGTCAATTTTGAGCCTTTTTGTTCTTACAATTATTCTAATGCACTTATACTGTATTATTGCATCTAAGTTTCAATTCACTCTTCCCTGGATGTATTGTCATGTAGATTTGATATTGTTCCTTTCTCCTTTCTTAGCTGCACAATAAATGTGCTTCACATTTGAAGCCTGAATGTGACTGTGGACCTCTGAAGGACCATATTTTGCCACCCACCACAATCTGTCCAGTGGTATTGGTGAGTTTGTCCTTATCGTTTGGATGTCACTTGTGGATAATGTGAATAACTGGAACATTGTACGAATAAGTATTTCTGGAAATAATTTTTCATTAGTCAAGGCAAAACTGTCAGCCTGACCCACATCATAACTCTGCTCATGCCATTCTCTTTGTCCTTGTGTAGAAAACAAGGTGGGGTAAAGTATGCTCAAATTGAAGCTAATTCGAGTGTTGTCTTAGTCATGCTGTACTTACCAGAAGTTATATGGGCAGAATCCTTCTATATTTTACATATTTTATAGACTTAGCTTCCCAGAATAATGAAGTTACTCTTGTGGGCAGTTTTGCTAGGAATGCACATTGTATGTATTCACTTTGAAGTTTCTCCTTTAGGTCAGAGGCTACCTGAAATGGTGTCACAGACTCACTAGGTGTTTTTTTAAAACAATAAATTTTAAAACAATAAATTTTACTACTTAGAGATTATTTACTTAAGAAAATAAATAACTATAGAAATTAAAAATGAAGGGGGGATAGTTCTGAGAGGAATGTTAATAAGGATAGCAACAGCCGTTCAAAGATAATATTCATTTTCAGTACAAAATTGTTCCTAAATGTTATATAAAATCCTTTTATATAACACATATCTCATTTTCAAACCAACATGGGAATTAAGTGACTGGAATTTGGTTTTATGTAACAAAAATATAACAACTAAGAATTATTAGACAAATACTTTTTTAAAGGTCAACTGAGAAATTAATCAAATTACTCAATTTTCACCCACTTATGATTCATATTGTGATTATCTGCAAAATGCTGATGGCATCCTAAATATGTTTACTTACAAAATTTTTATGAAGCCTTTATTTTGTCAAATCACTAAAAGCAAAGAAAATATCTTCATATTGCTGAAGATAGTATTAATTAATTTTAATTTCTTTCCTCAATGTTATATTTTATAATAATTATAATTTCATAATTAATTATGAATATTGACTCATAACATACTTTAGATTTTAAATTAATTTGCTGTTGTCTTAATGATTTTATAGAGTCAAAAGTATTATAGAAATTTTACAGTATTTTTCTTTTCTTTAAAAATATAATGTTTCTGACTCAGATACATTGTTGACATGAGGTTTTAACTCACATAAAAAGTCTAATTTGTTTTTGCACCATCAAGATTCAGGTGGGATACCCTGCTCAGTGATCCCCATGTTGACCATGCTATATCACACAATGTCAATCATGAGGCTCAGCCTTATTTTTCTATTACTAGTTTGTTTGGAAAATTGATGGCTTAGTAACATGTGTTCCATGGATATCCCTGCCTTCCAGCAATCTAGAAAAAAAAAACAAAACATAAAAACAAACAAACAAAAAACCTTCCTTGCTACATTTGATTCTGAAAAGTTATTTTATATAATCAAATATTTATGTGCTATTTATCATGATTTGTATCTTAACATTTGTCATTGGCTCATTAGACTACAGGTTATTCTGAAACATGTTCCTCTCTGAGGCAAATTTCTTATCTACCTTTAAGTGACTTTCATTATGCCTCACTGTCCTTTCTTTTTCTCAGGACTCTTTGCTCATCGTCTTTCCAGGGGTTCTGATTCTACCTTGCCTGAATTGGTCCTTCACTTGGGTCTTGTTTGTTGTGTCAATATTTTGCATATTTACTTTTCTTCCTAAACAGATCTTATGTCTCTGGCTGATTTTATTTCTGTGCTAATAATGGACATGCAGAGATATAATCTAGGAATTCTATCCTTTGTTCACTTCAACACATCCAACATATTATTATTAGTTAATGTAGTAGCATTCATGCTTGTGTACTGAGTTCACAAATTAGAATAGATGCTGTTTTAAGAATATTCATTCATTCAGCAAGCATCTATCGAGTGACAAAGAATATTTTAGTGTAGAATTAAGGAGTACAAAAGGAATACCACACTATTGCCTTCATAGATCTTACATTCCAGTTGGGTGAAATAATCATCAAGAGTAATACAAATAAGTAAACTATGTAGACCCTGGCTGTACTAAAACATGTGGAAACAGAATGATGGTTGTCAAGAGTTGGGGAAAGGAGAATAGGCTTGTGCTGGCTAGTTATATGTCAACTCAACACAAGCTAGAGTCATTGAAGAGCAGAGACCTTCAGTTGAAAATAATACTCTATAAGACCAAGCTTCGGGCAAGCCCATAGGGCATTTTCTTAATTAGTGATTGATGTGGGATGGCCCAGGACATTGTGGATGGTGCCAGCCCTTGCTGGTGGTCCTGGGTTCTATAAGACAGCCAGTTTGACAAGCTATGTGGAACAACCCAGTAAGCGATATCCCTTCATAGACTCTCTATCAGTCCTTCCTCCAAGTTTTGACCCTGTTTAAATTACTGCCCTAACTAATTTTAATGATGAATATGATAAACCTATTCCTTCCAACCATGATTTCATCATAGAAATAGTTACCCTAGCTAGGATAAAGGGCTGTTGTTCAAAGGGAGGAAAAATCCCTATTATACAGGAACTCTCAGTTTAGAAGTGTAATTTGAACTATGATGGCTATAAATAAGACTGTTATACAGGACATTAAAAAATTGCCAACAGGCTAGACTTCAGGTGTTTTTATCATAAAAATGCACAGAAGGATTTGATTTCCTCTAGTATTGATATAATCCAATAATAAAATCGTAGCAAAGTCATTATTTGTCTTTATTTGTAACTCACGAATCATGGCATTCTCCTTCCAATATAGTAGGATAAAGGTCCAGTACACAGTGGTATTTTTGTAAAAACAAGCAATACAAAGATAGAAAATAAAATATTAGTTACTATCATATTTGAAAATAAGGATTAAAATAGAGGGACCTTTTTCATTGTATTGATTGAGGCAAAATTTCTTCTTTATTTATTTATTTATTTATTTTTGAGAAAGGAGTCTGTTTTAGAAACGACTTGCTTCCGTGAGGTTTTGGTTTGCTTATAGGAATTCACTTTGAGTAACTACATTTTTTAAATCTGATCTGGACTTTTGAAATTAGTGCAAGACTTTAGTACATCATAATAATCTGTAGTATATTTTATTGAATGACATAGAAATGTTATTTTGAATATCTTAGTCATACCTAATCAAAAACATATGATAATTTTAGTGTAAAGAACACAATAAAATCACATTGAATAAATTCTTAATCTACATACAAGAAGTTCATTGAAGAAAGATATTTGAAGGAGACATCATGAGGCATTATGGGGAAAGAGCTTAATGAAATTTTAGCAAAGACATAATCTCTAAGACAGGAGATACTGGATATATTGGAAGGGCAAAGAATGATATTAATAGCTCAACCAGAATGTGTAGAAGGAGAATTTTACAAATGAAGGAATTTTATTTTGTATAGGGTAGTCAGACTATTATAAATTAGTTACATTTTATTCTGAATCACATGAAAATTTGTCAGAATATTTTCTCTGGATAAGGAGTGATATGATTTATAATTTGAAGTAAAAAAAATTGTCTGCTGTGATGGAACAAAGATACAGAATTTACATATTTGGAAAGAGAGAGCCAGATACTTGGGGATAGTCTAAGACCTGTAATAAGTCTCAAAACTGGATAGAAGTTAACTCTGAAGTCACCCAGTAAGATGAAAACTAAAGGGATCAAAGAATGCATCACTATTTAGCATACTGCATTTAGAACATAGCTAGAAAGCTCAAGTAAATGTGATTCTCTGGTCAAACCTTCCATCAGGTTTTTTTTTTCCAGGTATATCACAATTACAAGAGAAGAACAGTAATTGTCCAGCATAAATTGTCCTGCTACCTTACTCCATATGAGGTGAACAGAAAGAATTGAGGAGTCAAAAAGGTCTACACAACAACAATTATATAAAAACAATAACCTTGGTTAAGCAGGGAAATAAGAGAATGGTACATTTTTGACAACCATGGACTGGGGGAGTCTTTGAGTTAGGGTTAATGGCATTAGGTAGCAATAATGAAGGAGAGAGAAATACAAATCATGAAAGACTAGAGCTTTTGGTCATGAGAAGTACGAACTTATTTGAAAATCAGTGAGCCCATAAACCAGATAGCAATTGTTATAAATTTGTACACAAATAATAGAGAAATTAAGGAGATAAAAGGATGATGTAGGAGCAAACACCAAATATTACCACTCCAGAACTACATGGAACCAATTTGTCTACCTTCCTCCAGATTTTGGCCCATGCTTCCTATTTGTCTTATCTCTCCAATTGGACCCCTCATGGAACAATATTCCCAAGTCCCAAATCCATTTCTTATCTTGGACTCTCCACCATAAATTGCAAATTAATCACTGAGTCTTATTGTAAAATTCATAATCTTGTCTCTTTATGTCCCCTGAATCATTGACAATGTCCCACCTGGGATTGTCTATCCCAGTGACATCCTTCCAGAACTGATTCCCTCCATATGCCTCTCAGATGATTTCTGGGTCTATATTCAAAAATGCAAATATGAAATGTCTCTTTGATGCATAAGTTAATTGCAAAAATTCCTTACTTGAATTCCAAGCTCTCTTCTATAGTAAACAAAGTTATTTCCTGGATCAACCCACCCAGTCTCTTGCAAACCACATAAGACACTGGAAATCAAGGATAACTGAAGTACTTATAATTTTCAAAGTACAACTGTTCTCTCAACTTCTGCAGTCTTGTATATGTTAATAAATCAGGTGAAATTACTTTATCTTAGAATTCCTCCCGCCTTGCTAAGTAAGAATTAAAGGTAATTTTTGTAAAATGGAGTAAATACATTGAATATTACACACATTAGCTATTTAAAGGTTCATCGTTTAAACAAAACAATGCTCTGCTTAGAGAATTGGTTAAACTGCCCAAACTAGTGGCCACTGAACCCTTTATAATTGGTGGACTGTCATGACCATCCCAGGAATGAACATACATAGTTATCTGCTATAAAATTTTAGTATTTATTCAAAGAAAATCAGTCTCCCTCAC